TGTATGTAGATAGATAGATAGATAGATAGATAGATAGATAGATAGAGAGGGCACAGGGTGAGTTGAAGATGCAGGGGTAATATCTGGAGAATAAAATTAAAGGGTGAGAGGATTATACTGGGAGAAGGAGAAAGGGAGAGGTAGAACGGAGTAAATTATGTCACAAAAAACCCCCCAGAAAATAAAAGGCTGTTACAGTGAATGGGAAACAGGGGAAGGTGAGAAGGAATGAGTGAATCTTATTCTCATAGGATTTGGCTTAAGGAGGGAATAACATACACACTCAATTGGGTATGGAAATCTGTCTTACCCTACAGGAAAATAGGGAAAGAAGAGGAAAAGAGAGCAAGAGAATGATAGAGAGGAGGGCAGATTGGGAAAGGGGGCAATCAGAAAGAAACACTTCTGAGGAGGGATAGGTTCAAAAGAAAGATTAGAATAAATGGGGGAGGGATAGGATTAAGGGAAATAGAGTTAGTTTTTCACAACATGATTACAGTGGAAGTGTTTTGCATAACTGCACATGTATATCCTGTATTGAGTTGCTTGCCTTTTCTGTGAGGGTAGGTGGGGAGGGAGGAAGGGAGAAAAATTTGGAAACCAAAGTTTTAAAAATACATGTTTAAAAAAAAAGTTTTCACATGCAAATGGGAAATAAGAAATACAGGAAATGGGGTACAGAAATCTATCCTGCCCTACAGGAAAGTAGAAGGGGAGGGGGACAAGAGAAGTGGGGGAGAGATAGAAGGGATGGCAGACTAGGGGGATATTCAGAATGCATGTCATCTTGGAGTGGGGGGAGGGGCGAGATGGGATGAAAATTTGAAACTCAAAATCTTGTGGAAGTAAATGTTGAAAACTAAAAATAAATTTTAAAAAAGAAAAAAAATCTGGCCTTAGACACTTAATAGCTATGTGACCCTGGGCAAGTCACTTAGCCCTGTTTGCCTCAGTTTCCTCATCTGTAAATGAGCTGGAGAAGGAAATGGCGAACCACTTCAGTGTCTCTTCCAAGAAAACCCCAGATGAGTTCACAAAGAGTCAGACATGACTGAAACGCCTAAACAACAATATTGCTATCAAAAGGGGAGCAGGAGGGGGTGTTCCTTTCACCTGTTTAATTGATTATGATATCCCTCCTCTTAATTTTACCAGGTCTACTTGTAGTTTACAAGAGTTTCTTCAAATGAATTGCTATTTGATAGCCTTATAGTGTGAGGAAGATAATTTTCTGTGGGATCCCACCTGGGTATCATGGTGAGAACTTTGAATTTGGAAGCCAACAACTTGAACTCACATATCAGTGTTAGCACACCAGTTGATCTTTATGGTCACTTTCATTTGGAGAACATATCATCCTTTGTCATACTGGTTTACAGGGAGAGAGGCCTTAGAACAGTTTCCTGCCCTCTTCCCACAGCCCCAGTTGTTGTCTTCTCTCCTCCAAACAGATGTTAGAAAAGGTTCCCCAGTTCTAGTTCTGCTGTTGTTCCTTTGTTCCCTTATCATTTCAGGACTGTTAATTCATTCTTCTGGGAATGGATTATAATTCATGGAATCATCTCACCTTGGAGTTACAGGTCTTCGCTACCTCAAACTGAAACCTGAAGGTTATTTGGGATGTTCTCTGGAAATCAAACGCTGTGAAATTTCTGCCAAACCCCAATCCTCTCCTAGGGGATTGGCTTCTCAGAAGTTGGAATGAGACTGTAGGAAGTTGTGTTGTCTGTGTATTTGACCCTTTCTTAAAACAAATATATTCAATCTTCATTGTTTATTGCTTGTGGGACATGGTCCATATATATCATAAGATCTTAGATTAAAAGCTGAAAGAGAATATGTCACAACTTAAAATAACTTAGAGGAAACATTAATTCTAACAGATTCCTTCTTTAACTTGAAATATCAGTGTTAAAAACATGGGAAACAAGGAGATGAGAATAGATTATGGAGGACCATAAGACCCCATAATAACTTTATAAAGTGTCTGTATGTTTAAAAATGTAGTGGTATCAATATGCCATTAAATTGTTTATTGTGGGGCGGAGGCAGGGTAGATCTCCATCTGTTTAATTGTTTATAGAATGGGATGTTCTGTGTATTTTTTGGATTTAATAAACATTTGTTGAGTACCTAATATTTAAGGTGATGTTAGATCAGGTTCAAAAGTGAATGAATAAATAGATCCCTACTTCAAAGGAGCTTATAGTCTTGCTGGGATTTGACATGTATACAAAAATAATAATACTGACATTCCACAAGAGATATATAAGCAAAATGCTTAGGGTAGTAAAGAAGAAGGGGTTAGAGTTAGGAAGATCAGGATATTTGAATTGGGTCATAAATAAGAGCTAGGTTTTTAACAGGAAGTTCACTAATGGTTGTATTTCAGGCAGTGTTAACAGTATGAGCAAAGACCATTGGATGTGACATGTAGCAGGTCATAGGTGACCTCAGAGAGCATAGTGTCATAGTGGTGGGAGTGAAAGACTGATTATTAGGCATTAAGGAACAAGTGGCAGATGAGGAGATGGAGGTAACTAGTGTAGACTGCTCCTGGAGGATGGAAGCAAAAGAAGGAAATAGAGAATATGAAGGTTTGATGGAATAACAGGATTGAGAGGATTATTTTTTAAAAATTGGGAAACTTAAATATGTTTGTAGGCCAGTAGAAAGAAACCAGGCGAGAAATTATGTAATTCAAGAGAGGATGATGATGCAGTATCACAGAAGAGAAATAGAATGGCAAAGGTAAAGGGGTAGTCTTTGTGAAGAAGTAAGGCTACTTCAGAGAGGAGCAAAGGAGGCAAAGAACAGTGAAAAGTTTTGATTTGAAAAGGAAGTTAAGGGATTTCATTGACTGACTTTTCTGTATTCTCTGAAGTAGTAGGCAAGGTCATCTGCTGAAATGGTACTTGATAGAAATGGAATTAGTTTGTTAGAAGGGAGAAAGATTTGTAATAACCATTTTGAGGAAAAGAGGTAAGAAGTCAGTAACAAGTGAGTGAGTGGATTTCAGGGTACGTCAGAGAAATATAGTAGAAAAACTATCTTTGGGAATCAAATTCAAGTGTTGACTTTTCCACTGATTTTGGCAAATCATTTATGCTCTCCCATCTTTAAAGGGAAGAAGTTGGGCTAAATGATCTCTGAGGTTACCTCTGGCTTTAGCCTTCCCTGAATCTAAGAATCACTAAATTTAGCATGAATTTACTGTGGCCTTAGAACCATTTTATGACATTTAGCCATCTATGACAGTGGCATCCCAGAAGCTGGAGCGAAAAAAAAAACCACCTAGGAATTGATACGTGGCAGCTGTGGCAGAAGACCAAAGGAACAGTGTACTCTTGGATGATAGTTGGGAGCATCGTAGGAGTGAATGACCGCGTCTTCTAGTTTTGAGGAGACAAAAGAAGCCAGGAGGATCTTGATGGACTGGGAACTAAATAGTCAAAAGGGCTGGAGGTCTGGTGAATGTAAGAAGCAAATTCAGCAGGGGGAAATGAAAGCTTACAATCTTAGAAATTTCATAATTCAAGAAAATTAGTTATAGAACGAGTGTGACATGGCCATTGTCGTGAGTGGCTGAAGTGGAATGAAATGTGTGCACCAAATACTGCCATCACATGTTTGCATAGTACTTTTCAGACTATAAAGTGCTTTCCTTGCAATGTCTGTATTAGATAAGTCATACAGATATACTCGTTTTTACAGATGGTAAAACTGAGATTAATTGTCTCGTGGTTTTATAAGTAATAAAAATCAGAACCAGTATATGTAGTATAACTATGTGACTCAATATATAGTTCATAACTTTTTCAGCTGTACCATGTTACCTCTTCTTCTACAGTGATGTAAGGCCAGGGTCTTGAAACATCAGAGTGAATTTTAAAGTCACTGAATACAGTAGGCATTATAGTAGAAGAAAATGATGAGAATAGAATGCTAAGAGTCATTCATTGAGCATGATGGAGTAGTGTTTTGGACAGTTGCAGAAATGGGTTAGGTGAGGTTGAGACATCTTATTCATACACACACACACACACACACACACATATAAATGTGAGCTTGAGGGCAAGGACTGTCCTCTTATGTTTCAGAATATTGTGCCTTTCTTTGTATCTCCATCTCTTAGCACAGTATCATATAATAGGTACTTAATAAGTGCTTATTGACTGACTTTAAATAGTATTGATTTCAAAAGAAGAGAGATGTTGTTGGGAGTTGTTATTGAAGCAGTAGCCTTAAAGTGAGCAAGAAATGTCATGCCCCCTCTTCTCAGTCTTACAATTTAGTGTTGGGTAACAAGGGAAATCTGAAAGAAGTAATCTTCATTTGGGAGGAGGTAGAGAAAACCTGAGAAGATCCAGGTTTACCATTAAGGAAAGGGAAGCTTTAAAGAAGTATTTATAATCCAATTCTTTACTTTGTTAAGTGTGTTGAAGTTAGCTCTTTGATATGGCAGTGTATCAGATTCATCATTTGGAACATTAATTTTCATGGTGTACAGTGCAGTAGATCTGGAGTTTTTAAAAAAATATTCTTATAACTGTCTTTCAGTATAATTGGTTTCCTTTGTAATATTATGCATTTTATTTAATTAATGCATTTAAAAATTTTATTCTGAGAAGAGGTTGACAGGCTTCATCAGACTTCCAAAGGGATCTATGACAAAGAAAAAGATAAAGAATGCCTGCTATAGTTGTAGTAGCTCCTCTTGCCCCCCAAGATAATTCCAGGGCAGTGCATATAGTCTCAACTTGTCCTTGGTTTTTTTTTTTTCAAAAACTTTTAACATAGAAAATTTATATTTTGAATCTATTAAAAAAATGGTGATGAGTCAGAAACATATACATATATAGATGCATACATATATACACACACACATATACATATGTATGATATTTTAGTACTATTTTTTCCCTTTGGGTACATTATGTAGCAGCATTAAAATTGTAAGTTTTTCATGCATGTTTTTACATTTCCTGCTTACATTTTAGGCTAACTGTGATCTTAGACGTCAAATAGATGAACAGCAAAAACTACTTGAAAAATATAAAGAAAGATTAAATAAATGCATTTCAATGAGTAAGAAACTTTTAATAGAAAAGGTAAGTTAAAGTTGAACTTCTCTTTCCCAGCTTTACTAATAATGTCTTGAGATTTTTCATTTTAAGCTAAGTTATTAATTTTTTTTTTCTCCAGAGCACACAAGAAAAACTGGCAAGCAGGGAGAAGAGTATGCAAGACAGACTACGCCTTGGGCATTTTACAACAGTTAGACATGGTGCTTCATTTACTGAACAATGGACAGATGGTTTTGCCTTTCAAAATCTTGTGAAGTTAGTCATTCTTATTTTTAAAATTCCCAATAAGTGTGGGGGATTTTTGTTATTAAAGCTTTTAGAATTACTTTCCTTATATATTCTTTCGCATTGCTCTATGAAATGATAGAATTCAGTGCGATTTTTCTTTAATGAGTTAACTGAATTTAGAATACTGACTTCTGATGCTTTTGAAAGATGGTGAGTAAGCCTCATTTATTTTTAACTAGCTTTTGAAAAAAATGTGAATTTTTGACATGAGCAAGATTTAATTATTCTGCACAATTGACAGCTAAATGTAAACATAGGTATTGGATTTCAGTTTTAGCTTTAGCATACTTCTTGGTTAACATTTATTTTAGGTACAGAAGATGATGTGTGGTTTTGAATATGACTCCCTTAAATGTAATGTGATTTGGCTTTTAGATTTTATTTTGGAGGGTAAGTTGGGGAGAGAAGAACTTAACTTTCCATTCAGGGATTTTCATATAACAATGATTTTTCTAATCTTTTATCCATGCTCGAACCTCCATTTTGCTATTAATGTTTAGCCCAAATCATGCTTCTTAGTTTTCTCATCATGGTTGTCCAGTTGGGAAAGTCACTGGGCAGAAAGATTTCATCAATATCAATATCATCAATATCATCAAACCAGCATGTAGTATATAGATTAAGGAAGGGTTAAAATGATTCTTTTGCTTTTTTAATTCAACCATCAACCACTTTTTATTTTAAATACCTGTTGGCTAAAGTCCTATACCTCAAAACAAATTCACCGAGCATGACAAAGGTAGTAGGGATGGAACTGGAATGGTTGGAGTGTTGATGCAAACTTACATCTCACTTTTATTTTTCCTTTGTAAACTCTCTTTTATAATAGAGACAAACTGAAAGAGGAACTAATTTAAAAAAAAATTTTTGGTTCCCAGGACTTACTCTTCTCATTTGTCACATTTTTACCAACTAGTGAAAAATTAGGGAAGTTCTTCCATCAGAATGTATGTAGATAAGACTTCATTCCTCAAGACTGCCAGTCTAAGCACAAGGACAATCTTCTTTTCCTGAGTGAATTTCTCAGGGATTTTTCTGAAGTTCCTCAAATGTTGACTATCTAGTCTGAGTAGCTGTCACTATCGCCTTTGTCAGGTTATTATTGAGCTAGTGAGTCATTTAAGTGGCTAGGATTTCCTTTGGCATTGCTGAGGCCTGATTCCAAGGCTTGGGCTTCGTTTAACTTGGAATCATAAGGGCAACACCTATATCCCATTCTGTAGGAATAACTTCTGTATGACTTGGTTAACATTTTTTCCTCCTAAGAATGGACAAAAATGTTAGATTGTGTGATCCCTAACAAGAAGTTTTTGGGGAATATCCCTAGGGTTAACATATCTACAGTGGTAAAAGAAAGCTATGTCTGGGGAAACATGAAATTGAGGGCCAAAGCCTCTCAGTACTCTGCAGACAGAAATTTGAGTAATATTGAAAGGAAAGCCGATCATTTTCTTTGGCTTATGGTTCCAAGGTTTGTAGGCCTCTCTGTATACATGCTGCAAGTTGTTCACTCCGGGGCAAACCCTCCATGATGAAATGTTATATTTGGAGTTGGAAGTAAAAATGGAAAGACAAGATTCTCAAACAGGATGTTGGCCTCTTGTTTCTTAGTTTTCTCATGGTTGTCCATTTGGGAAAGTCACTAGGCAGAAAGATTTCATCAATATCATTCAGCAACACAAACTCTTTGGCATGTTTTGGTAGAGGCAGTCATTGAGGGCTGTCAGCTGTCGATGGTAACCAGTGTCGCCCTTCCTTTTTAGAGAAATGTGAGGCAGGTAACACATTCAGGTAGGATGTTATAGGCAGGGAGTTTTTTTGTACTGTCCCTTCACAAATGTAATATGCCAGGACTTTTCCCCAAATTTTATACATCTCAATGCTTTCTATAAATTGTAGAACATTATTGTAATTTCCAAAGGGGAGATACAGTGAATTCAGAAGATGGCTTCCAAGTTTCTTGGTTTCTTATTTTAAACCATGGCATCTGGTTGGTGTTTCCTTGCTTGGCCCAGTTGAATTGATACGTACTGGGCATTGCAATTCTGAGGAACCTCAAAGAACAGATAAGCACCACCCTACGGGAACCCAAATCTATCATTGAGAATGTCTGTCCGTAGTCTGATAATAGAAATGTTGCCAAAGGACTGGCAGCTGAACTAGCAGTAAAACTCTTTTATATCTTTGAGGTGAACTGAGGCTGATCACTTGGTGAGGTTTATAACCTTCTATCAAAATAAGGTGGAATGATAAACATTTTGGTATTTTATAAATAGGGTGATTGTACCTCTGGCAATTTGCCCTCTGCACGTAGCCAAGGATACCTTTTTTCTTCTTTGTTCATTCTCCATTGGCTTCAACCAATAGGATGATACCAACCACAAGATCAAAGTGAAAACTGTAATTGCAAAAAAGCATCCAGAGACAATAAATGTTTAGTATTCTAAATTCAAAGACTGGCATATCTCACTGCATTTGGTGCCTTCCCTCACTGAGGGGTCAGAACTTTTCCAGGCCTCAGTTCTTACTTATTACTTTTATTTCCAGATATGATCTCCATTTATATGGTGGCCTTGGTGTGCCACATTTCACGCTTTAATTTTATACATCTATAGATGAGTGACATTTCTATTTCTCTTGTTGACAGACAACAAGAATGGGTAAATCAGCAAAGGGAGGATATTGAAAGGCAAAGAAAACTCCTGGCAAAGAGAAAACCACCGACTACTAATAATTCTCAGGCACCTTCCACCAATTCTGAACCAAAACAAAGGAAAAACAAAGCTGTCAATGGAGCAGAAAATGATCCTTTTGTTAGACCTAATTTACCACAACTGTAAGTTTGTTTCATTTTCCTTTTTTGAACATTACCAGCAATCACATGTGGTCAGTGTATGTAATTAGTATAAAAAATAGTTATACCTAGGAAGAAGGGCAGTAATTGACAGGTTAGCGCTATAATAATATGAGCCAAAAAGAAACTATAATTCTAAATTTCTTTAATTTTTAAAATTTTGTTAACTGTTAACTTGGTTAACTGTTTTAAAATGGAGACTTTAGCAATTAGAAAAGGAGTGGAATCTCTACTTTTAATATTCTGAATGACTCAGAATAGGAATTCATCTAAACCTTTGACCATTTCAATTAGGCTTTTCCTCATCATGTGTGTGTGTGTGTTTTTTTTTTTAAATGAGGCCACAGTAGTTTACCTTTAAAAGAATGCCACAAGATAGAAACTTGAGGACAATTCTTTGGCACATTGAATGAGTTTGTTATTTCTAAGTCTTCTAGTAGTGGTGCTGGTAGGCACTTTGCTAAATGCTTTACAAATGTAGGAAGCATGAAACACATTCTGAGATGCAGAGTAATGTAATTGCTTTTATAATGAGATTTTTTAAAAATCCCCAAGCTTGGTTCCTGCAGTTTTAGCTATAAACCAACTAATTGTTGGTTTATTATCGTGGTTAGATGTAAAAATTCTGCTTGATTTGGTGGATGTATAGTTTAAGCATTTGTGCCAAATAGTGATTGACTACAAAATCACAAAACATTAGGACGTTATCTGGTCTAGGCTCCTGGGAAGTCTGTTTTTAAAAAATTTAAAATGCGGTTGAATGATTTACACATGTCTTGCACTGAATTAATATTTGTTAATTAACCTGGGACCCAATATGCTAATTTTTTTGTTTCTTTTAAAATTATACTCCCCCCCCACCAAACATGAGCTTTTTCAGTTCTACTTATCTATTTCTCTTTTTTGTAAACATAATAATGATGATGATAATATTAGCTAACATTTATATTGTGCGCCTGGCACTGTTAAGCATTTTACAAATATTATCTCATTTGATCCTCACAACAACTCTGGGAGGTTGGTGCTAATATTATTATCTTTATTTTATAGTTGAAGAAACTGAGGCAAACAGAAGTTAAGAGGATAAATGTATTTTTAGAATGTTACCAGGTATCCAACCATGTACCTTTCAAACCTATGTTCTTGAAGATTTTAAATTTTTGACTTCCATTCTTCTGAGACAAAATTAAATTCTTCTCCTCCCCACCTTCCTATCTCCATTTATGATTGGCAAGGTTGGGGAAGAATTGTCCCTTTTAGACTTCATTTTTTGGATTTATATATTCACATATGTGACTCACGCATTATTAAACAATAAGCCTGTTTCATGTGACTACCTCATTTTGAGGAATAGAAACAGCTCCAAATCCAAACCTTTTGTGTATTAAATCCATTATCATTGTTTTTTTTCTATTTCATCTTACAGACCTGGGGTCTGTGAAATTTATGAAAAAATTGTTTTGATAATTATTTCAGTATAATTGGTTTACTTTGTAATCTTATACATTTTATGTATTGAAAAACATTATTTTGAAAAGTTATCTGATCATAAGTTTCAACCAGACTACAAAAAAGGCCTGTGACACAAAAAAGGTTTAAAAGCTCCTGTTGAAGACCCAGTTTTCTCTCTTCCAACCCTCCCCCCTGTCCCTCTCCCACCCTACATACCTTTCAGGTTACTTTTCTTTGATCATCTGGGTAGATTCTAGTGTGGCTAATATGTTGTTTCACTTCCTCTTTTGTGGTGCCTTTCCTCTGCTTTGATGTGTCCTTTCCCACAGAAGTTACAAGTAATTCCATTTTGTGAAACAGTGTTGCTGTGTTCTTATTTTCCATACTAGAAAATACTGTCAATGAGTGAATGTTACAATTATTTGATTTCTTTTATCTTTTTGTCCCCCTTCATCCACAATTATCCATTTAACAACCTCAACAAAAACAAATGAACAGATATCCCCCAGTCCCATTACTCTAAATATGGCCATATAATCAGAACTACTTATAGCAAAAATCCATGTAAATAACTAATGAGAATAGCTTATGTACTGTGTTCTCTTCTTCATTTTGTACATGCTCATGTTTTTTAAGTTTTAGAGAACGTGCATTAGAGAGGGCATTATCCTTGCCTGGGAGATCTCTATACCAGGGAAGGTCCAGTTCCTTTCCCTGTATTACAGATAAGGAAAATGAGGCTCAGAGGTGTAAATTGCCCCTGCTTAACAGAGGTGGTGACTGTCTTGGGATTTGAATCCAGATCTTTTTTGCTGAGGGGCAGCTAGGAGGCAGAGTGAATAGAGTGTCATCCCTGGAGTCAGAAAGACTCCTCTTTCTGAGTTCAGATTTGCCTCAGACACTTCCTAGATGTGTGACCCTGGTCAAGTCACTTAGCCCTGTTTACCTTAGTTTTGTCATCTGTAAAATGAGCTGAAAAAGGAAATGGCAAACCACTCCAGTATCTTTGCCAAGAAAACCCCAGATGGGGTCACAAAGAGTAGGACATAACTGAAACAACTGAAGAACAACAACTTCTTGGCTGAAAGTTCAGAACTCTACTACACCATATTACCTCTCTTGATAGAAATAAAGAGGTTGTGACTATCATTGAACTGCTGATCTTTATTTTCTTTATCTTCTATCATTAGGGTATGTTTTGAGTGATGGGATCAATAAGTGTTACGTGATTTCTTGAAACACATTTCTGACTCTATTCTGTAATCCTTGTCTGTTCCTAAGTAGAACATTCCAATTGTAAATAGAAATGGTTCTGTGTGGTCCCCTTGATAGAATTCCACTCCACATTATCCATTCTATGCTATAAACCACTTTGGAACATTAAAATATTTTTCTCTTAAGTCCTTATTAACATGTTATTTTTTAAAGAAACCATCTCTTATTTATCCCCCCTCCAAGCCTCCAAAGAAAAACAGTCAAGGCAAACCAACTAATACCCCATGTCTACCATTTTCAGCATTCATATTCATCTGACTTCTGTTTTTTCTGGGTTATTCATTGTATTCATTCTAAGTTCATTTTCCAGCTTGTGTTTTTTATTAAGTTGTAATCATGTGTAATTTGTTCTCCTAGGAATCAGTTCATACAGATCTTCCCATGTATAGTAGGCTAGGTCTGAGTCAGGCCAATATAGCTTTGGTTGATATTAGAATGAATTGAGACACTTTAAAACATTTGGTAGTTTATAAAATGCAGTTTATTTAGCTGGAGTAGGGAAAACATATTTAGCAAGGATACAGCATTGATTCAGTAAACTTTCCTGACCATGTGTTTGTCCATGATGGTCCACCAGCTAAAAACCTAAGGGGCAAATTGTGATTCCTCGTGCTCTGCTTTTTTTATACCTAGGCTAACCAGGAAGCTAAGTCAAAACTCTTTAGTCTGAAGCCAATTAAATCTTGAGTGCTGTTTCAATACTTTTTAGGAAAAACTAGTCTTAGGGACTTAGAATATTACTATTGCCATACTATATTTCTCCAAATCCCTCATATTTGTCTTTTCTTACAGTACAATAATATTCAAATGCCAGAGTTTATTCAGCCACTATCTACTGGATGGGATCTGTTTTGTTTAGTTTTTTTTCCCTGCAACAAAAAGAGCGGGTGTGAACATTTTAGTATTATATTGGACCTTTTCTTTGTCTTTTACTTGGTATACATGCCCAGTAGTGAAATTTTGAGAGTCAGGGTTTGTGACTTTGTGAGTGGCTTTGCTGAAATCATTTGAGATTTTTTCCTGAAATGGTTGGAGCAATTCAGAGATTGATCACTGCTTTATCAGTGTTGAAACTCAGAAAAATATAGTCAGCAGTTTGTTTGAACTAGTAAATTGGAGATTGAGCTTTGGCTTACTTCAGAACATCTGTTGTCATAAAGGAATTATGACTCTGTAGCTCCTTTTGCATCAAGAAATTAGGATATAATTATTTTTAACACGGGAGGAAATTCTGATATTCTGCAAAATGTTTTTAGATTGCTTCAGGTAGTAGTCTCTTATTTTAGAAGGTCTTTTTTTTTTAAAATCAAATTAATCAACAGTCAGCTATTAAGCACTTAAGATATGCCTACCACTGTGCTTGATATACCTATAGGACATCCATTTTGAAATGTCCAAAAGTTGATGTGGGGCTTACACTCAGGAGAGAAACTAGAGCTGGATATATAGATGTGTGAATCATCTGCATAGAGATGATAATTGGATGCCTAGGAGCTGATGCAAGCACTATGTACGTTAGAATAGAGGAGAAGCAGAAAACAACAGATTCTTGGGATTGCATGCAATTAGTGGATATGACATGGATGAAGATCCAGTAGGAGAAATTGAGAAGGATTAATCAGACAGGTAAGAAGAAAATGAAGAAAACCCAAAGAGAAGAGAGCATCCTGGAGAAGAAAAGTGGTTAGTAGGATCAAGTACTGAAGACAGGTCAAGAAGGATGAGGAAGGATCAAGAAGAGGCCATTAGATTTGGCAGTTAATCATTGGCAATTTGGAGAAAATAGTTTCAGTTAAATGATAAGATTAAAAACCAGATTGTAGGAGTTTAAGAAGAGAGTGAAAGAAGCAGTAGCAGAAATCCCTATTATTAATTTTTCTTTTTCCCAAAGTCATCAAGAGAAATTTTTTAGAAATAATCAGGACTCGAGCTGGAATCATCTGAATTCTCAGACCTTCCCCTTGTTCTCTATTAGCAACTACTATTAATCCCTTTCTTGAGAATGCCTCATATCTTCTTCTTTAGTCTCATAGCTAATATCTTATGACAGGCCTTTATCTAATATGGACTATTAAAATAACCTCTTAATTGGTCTCTTTCCTTTCCAATCAATCTTATATAGTATTACCAAACTAATATTCCTAAAATATCTTTTCTCCTTCTTTCTTGAATTCCCAAAGTAATGCCATCTACATCTTATGATTTTTTTTTCTTGATTACAATCAACTTATGTTATGTGCTCAGGCTTAGTTCTGGGACATTATTTAATACCGAAGACCTAAATTTAATACTTATGACCTTCACAGTTTCACCATGAAGAAGGCAGTCTTGGGCATCGGGACCATAGATTGAGCCAACTAGGTTATGAGGAGAGAGATACAGATCTCATGCTAATTGCAAGATGTATTAATCTGCTGTGTATTACCCCACATTTTATTGGGGCAATTTGAATTTAATTATTCATTTAAAAAGATCAGGTTTAATATTTGCAATATATGTCCTTCACGCAATTGCCTTCAAAGCTGTCTGTAACAAGAATTCCTATCAATAAATCTTATTTTCTGCTTTCCATTTCAAAATATGAGATATCTTCCAAAATCTGAGCTAAGAGAAAAAAATCCTCATAGAGGTTGATTTGAAAAGAAAAGTGAAGAAAGAGATTGGAGTTCTGGCACTTCTATGGCACCTAATAATTGTAAGCATCATAGCTGCAAGAAGTTAGAGCATTGTAACGTTTCAGTTTTTACTCATGTGATTTTTTTTTCAGGACTTTCTCATTGTTGATCTACTTTTCCCTTCTACCTTTCTTCAAAAATTAAAAATTAGAGCATCATCACTTTTTTAAAGAACTTTAGCACAATTCCTGGCACATACTAAATGCTATAGAAATGTTAGTAATTTTTTTCCTTTTTGCTTGAGTCATAGGAATAACCCAATATTCAAATCCTCTGATAAATACCACTAAACAACAATGTGCCGCTGACTGAAATTCCTTAAATTTGAGGTTTCAGGTTTATTACTTCTGTGCATTCAAAATTCTGTTCTTCAGATTCACTTAGAATTCTGGTTTCCTGTTTTTTATATATACATATGTACATATATATAGTCACTTCTAATAATATATTATTCCGTATTTGCATTAAACTAATAGTTTTTAATAAAGAACCAAATCCTCATTATTTTATTCATTTAAAAGGTAGCCTGGTAGATTGTTGTTTATTAAGAATTATATGCTACAGTATATAAAATGTTAGGCTCTTATGAACATTTAAGTAAGTTTTTGTAAATAGATTTATGTAATTATGCTTACTCTTTCACAGTCATTAAGGATCTTTTAAAAGATGATTTGAAAAAGCCTGCTTATTTTTAACTCATGGAATTTTCTTCTAATATTTGCATTAATAAAATTTTAAGGATCCCCTTTCTTATCTTTGATATCATATAATTTGTTTTCATCAAGTTTGCCATTTCTGGCCATATGAAAAAAAATTAGTCTGATGTTATTAACTTAAGGAAACTACTTGTAAATAAAACTGTATATATGTGTGTATTGTAAAACATCATTAATTCATACCACACTAATCAAAATTTGTGATAACCTGGACCCAGAAAACTTTGGCTGTACTTTTGCAATAAAATTACATATTACATATGAGTATTTTAACTATGTAAGAGTGCCTTAGGGTACTTTAGAGACACTAAACATGTAGTTAATTTGCTAACTAGAAATCATTTATAAATTTTCATTTACAGTACTTTGGTTTTATTTTAATTATTGTATGTAATAAAGCTATAAAAAAAGACTAATTGTTCATTCAGATTGATTTGTTACACCCCTTCCACCCTCCCCCCTGGTTACTTTGAATTAATAAGATTTAACTATATACATATACATATTTTGGAATAAAAATATCCCCAACAAAAATCCTTTTAATCTTTTGGAATAAAAGTTTCCCTAATAGAAATAATAAATGTTCTTGAGTAACTGAAGATTGGTAGTTTAATATAATATCATCAGGTATCCTTTTATTAGTAGTAAGCGAATCCAGTGGGTGGGTAGGTAGGTGTGTGTGCGGGGGGAGGGGGGACTAGGAGATAGATAAAAATAGTTGTTGCAGCTGTATTTGCTGCAGATTAATAACTTTCTTTTTCTATACTTTGTCTAGAATTGACTTTTCTTGGAATATGACTAAAGAATAAATAATTGCAGCAGGTTTATGCTGTGGTGGTTCATGAACATGAGTAAATTAATATAGCATGTATTTGTGTCAATAGAATAACACTTTACCCAAATCCCTGGAAATTGTGAACAATTAAAGAGCTTTACTTAGATCTGATAAATAAATATGGAAGTTGTTTTCAGTGCAAATAAAATAGTTCTTCCCTCATGTGACTACTTTTCTTAGGAAGTATAGAATTCACTTAATTTGCTTAAAAAAATTATCTGCTAATAATGTTTTCAGATTATTAGAATATTTAAATGAATTATGCAGCTAATAAAATGTTTACAAATCACATGCAAAATTGAAAATACTATATTAATACATGAGGCAACAGTGTAGGGAATAGAAAGCCTGCTTCTGAGCCAGAAGAATTCAAGTTTCGCCTCTGACATATACTGGCTGTGAGACCCTGGGCAAGTCACATAACCTCACATTGCTCTAAGAAACAGCTCCCTAAGTCTGTAAGTTGTAGGAAAGGTATTTACCTATATTGATAGAGTTTGCTAATTTGGGAGATTCTTATATTAATGCAATCACAGCTCTAATCTCTTTCCCTAAATAAATATTTAATAAAAATGTGTGTGCCTAATTTGACATTATTTAACTCATTAAGTGTTTTTTTAATTTATAGTATTGTATTTGAAATTTTATTATGACCAAATTTTCACAATTGAAAAGTATGAGTAGTTAAATTTTATTACAATTTTATTACACTTTAATAGAAGTTAAAGTATTTTTTCTGAGTTGTGGATTTTTTTATGATGATTTTTTTTAGTTGAAAACCACTGTCCAAAATACAAGTTTCTGAAAATGTCCAAGTTATGTATTTATTATATTTTAAATGATTTAATTTATTATACATATAAGACTTAAATGTAACTGTAGTGTATTGATCTAGAATCTTGCTTTGATAATTTACTAATCACAATATTATTATGCTGATTGTTATTTAATGGCCTACCTTTTAAAATAAATAATAATCTTAATATGTAGGATTACTGTTTTGTTGTTTTGGCAGGCTGACTTTAGCAGAGTACCACGAACAAGAAGAAATTTTCAAACTTAGACTAGGACATCTCAAAAAGGTATGTGGACTTAGTGAACTGGGGTTTTTAGTTTAATTGTGGGAATTGTAGGGTTTGGCATTGGAGGGTTTCACTCAAGAAATTGGACATGGGAGAAACAGTGAAGATCTGAGGTGAAAACAGCCATTGACAGGCCATGGGAATGAGCATAGCTTTAGCATATTTTTTTTTAAATATAAAACATTGAGCACATGAAAGGTCAATATAACTTATACACATAGCAGAGTAGTAATGTTATTGTTTGGTTAAATTAGGAAATGCTAGTTGTAGACTAAGTTTAAATTTCTTAGAACTGAATTTTTTAGGAAACATGTTCTATGTTATAACCAGAAAAGTAAAATTCCATATTGCTCCTGTTTCACTGTTTTGTAATAAATTATAAGAGTTTGCAATGCTTTTATAAGCTGGGGCTTTCAAACTATTATATACGTGTTTAAGAATATTTTTCATAAAAATTTATATTTAAATTTGATTAATGAAATAATTTTAATTATTGTAAAATAATAAGGAATATTATTATAAAGTGATAAGAAATTTTGACACAATTTAAAAATTGATTTGTATTCATTTGTGGAACTGTCAGTTGTCAGTATCAAGGTTTTGATTCTCTTCATTACTGTTTAAAAACCATTTCAATAGCTTATTCTTAGTTCAGTGTATTGAAAAAGAATAACAAGAATAACAAGAGTTTTTTTCCCAAATAATGAAACTATATATAGATATTATTGTGTTTCTTTAAACTGTTTTCCCTTTCTTCTTTATGTATTTTAATTTCAAAAGATCTACTGAACAAGTTGTAAAAAAGAAACTGCTGGAAAAACATTATTACCTTTATCTTTATTGAACCAGGACACACAGATATCACTAAATTAGCCTCATTTTTTATGTGACATTTAAAATTCAGACCTGTTTATTTACAAAATAGTACACTTACTTCCTAGCTTTGTCCTGAACCCTAAAATGGGGAGAGAAATTTTATTGGATCCTCCTTTTTTCTTTTTCTGTAAAATCCTGCTTTTTGTGTAATCAGACCTCAGTATCAAATATTCTTCTAGTTAGACAAGTATTATATAGGAAAGAAAATATGATCTTTAGAGCAGTGGTTCCTAATTTTATTTTTGGATGGGTACTTTTACATTTTCCAGAATGTTGAGCTCTCTGTGGTGTGGGGGAAGGTGGTTGTTGGGGGGAAAAAAGAGGAGAAATGGGTATTGACAGAAGTTATTGATTTTTTTTTAGTTTATAGGTTGAGGCAGTAGCCAGGTTCTTCTTTCTACATATGTGTACATGGTCCTGTTAACTATAAGTCAGCTTTGAATTCTTGACCCAAGACATGCTTTGGCCTTTACTTTGATTACCACAGTTCCGCATTTGATTCCTTATAGAAACTCTGTATCAAATTTAGTGTTATTGTTATTCCACTATCTTCCTTTAAAATCTTTATTCTTAATATAATCTTTCAGCCATATCTAAATCTGTCCCCTTTTCCCTCCAACACCATCTTGTTCTTACTGTTGCCCTTGTCTGATACAGATCCAACCAAAAGTGCTTGATAGGTATATTTGTCCAATGAGAGGACTCATTTTGGCATTTAGAAGTTGAATGTATAACATTTATACCTCTATTAAAAGTGAATTATTCTATATATCCTGCTTTATATTATGTTCTCCATAAGATCATAGGGACTTTTATTGTCTGAATACAATAAAGCTTTCCCTGCAAGACTCTTATTTCTATATAAAACAGAATGATTTTAATCTATGTTTCTGGAGACTAGACTGCATATTATGTGCTTCTTTAGGGAAACCTCTTACATGAAAGCCTGAACTTATGTAGCTGATAAATTAGGGATTGACTTAGTGTAATACAGTGGAATTCTTTGTTTTTGAAAAGGCTGTATGGCAAACTTGCTTTTAAATAGTGAGCTTCTCTTGGACATTCATAATACTTGATTCATAGACAGCTGTGTAGTAACACTTTTTAAGAAGAGATAGATACTTATAAACAGTATCAAAAACACTGTACTTTTCTCTTTTAACTTCCATGATTTACCCTTTCAGCTTTTGTATGTCCTTGTCTATTCATTCTCTTATCTTTGTCCCTTTTATGATCAATTTCCTTTTTCTCATTGACTTGGAATATACTCACTGAGGTGGCAGTGACAGCTTCATAGTTACAACTCTTCTTTTTTCTTACCTACCCTAAATTACATATTTGTGGTCTTTTCCCTCTATCCTGGAGTATTATTTGGGGAGAGCAGAAGAAATTATAACCTTGAAACATACCCCAATATTCCTGACATTTTAAAATTATTAGGTGCTAGATTTGGAGCCAAAGAATTTTGGTCTATATCCTGACTCTGACATGTTACCTGTATGACTAAGGGTGGATCGTTTAACCTATGGAGGCCTACAAAAATGAAGGAATGGGACTAGATAATTTCTCTAGTCCCTTCCAGGTCTAGATTTATGATCCTCTAATATTACATTTGACAGACTTGGGGGTGTGGGTGTGCGCCCAAAAAACTCATCAAGAAGTCTAAAATTTACACAAGGGAGATGGTGGAACCCAGACACTTGGCAGCATCACCTTGGAGCAGAAGTGGGCACCTGCTGCCTAAGTTTACTATGGCTTTTGAATTATGAAGCATGAAAGGCATAGTTCAGTCATGTGTTCTAAAAAGAAGTAATTAGGAAATAATTACCTTCTGTTGGGTATTTTAAGACAATTGTTCCCTTAGAATACAAATAGAATGCAGAGGACTGGGCCTGAAGAAAGGGGAACAGGAAGTAAGCAAGTGTTTATTAAGTTCCTTTTATTGTGCTAAGCACTTTACACTTATTTTCTCTTTTGATCCTTACAACAGCCCTCTGAGGTAGGAAGATGCTATTGTGATCTTACATTTGGGGAAACTGAGCCAGGTTATAGGACTTGCCCAAAGTCACACAGCTAGTAAGTGTCTAAGAGTGGGTTTGAACTCAGGCCTACCTGATTCCAGTCCCAGTGCTCCCACTGCCTCCACCATCTGCCTGAGTCAAGAAGGTGCTTCACTACTATATCAGGTCACCCTGCTCCTGAACTTGTTAGACTTGAATATATTTGATGTGTTACTTGCTCTTTAACAACTTCTGCCAAGGGCTAGGTGTGAATTGTGGTCATTTGTATGTTGAAACACTCTGGATTTTACCATCGGTCTTCAGGTTACCAGCTCTTAACTTTAAGTGTATACGTTTGCATCGTCAAGGGTATATCAGCTACACAATTAAATTGAACTTGTTTTCTTAATTCGTAGGTATTGTAGTTTGAGAAAAATGACTAATATCATGACTGATGAAGGATGTCAGCAATTGAACAAAATGATTTGGTTGTGATTTTGGCATCAGTGAGAAATGAATGACTGAGAAAGTACATGAGAAATATGGTACTGGGTTAAATGTAAATTTATGAACAGAAGGAATGAAGGACCCATTTACTTTTTCTTTACACAGCTACTTTGTGGCAAGATGCATTTTAACTTACGATGGAAACTAAAGAAGAAACAAGTATATTAGCTTTATACAGTTGAATTACTATTCCACAACTCACCAGAATTGAGAACAAATAACAACAGGATAACCAAAGCAGTTGTTGCTCAGAAAATCTAAAAGTCAATGCCCAGTTCTTTGTAAGAGTACAGTCATAGTTTTGTGGTGTCTGACCAATGCTGAAAGGGCAGCGCTTACAGAATCTGTCAAATTGAGGCCTCTTGTATTTTGTTAGTGTTTATGAAAAACATCCAGTGTCACTTTTGTGTATGAACAGCAGTTTCTTCCAGTATTTATTGGGTTTGAGTTACTGTAGCAGTCAGGCAAATTAGAGTTCTGTTATTTTAAACACTCAGTGAGTTGGCTTTTAATTATAGAGAAACGAATTCACCATGCACTTTTCTTGTCTCTAAGTAGAAGAGTTTGCTTCTCCTTAAACCTTTTGGGAGATATATCATTTCATTTTTGTTGCAGTTAAAGGAGAATCATTTAAGTTAATGGAGTTGTACATCTAAAATGTCTTCTTTGGGGCTTACCTTTGTGGATGTTGCATGAGTTAAAGTAATTCCATAATTTGCTAGTGTATTGGTTGATTTCCACCCCAAATTTATTTTTATAAAGGTCAACTAAGAGGCAAACATTTGTAACAAAATGCCATAATTCTCTCAGAAGTAATTTCAAATTTCTTTTTAACTTCTTGTAAAGGACTCTACAGATCAAACTAAATAAATAAAATGTGGAAGGAATGCAGAATAATATCTCTAAAACTGCTTTAATTAGGAAAAGTAATTTTTTTGTTACTTCAGCAAGCCAAGCTCAATTTACCAGTAATACATACAACTCCCCCCTTGAGTATCGTGTATTAAAAGCTTGTGATTGCAAAGGAAGTCATTGCATTCCCTTAGAAGATTTTTCCTCTGAGGCAGAGCTGCCAACTCTTTCCCATTTTGTATAGTTATGCTTCCATGTGGAACCAATGGATTTTAGTAAACATGCAAAATTATTTATCAGGTGATGTCGTTGTTTTTATATTGACACTTAGGGTAGGTAAATTCTAGGAATAAGGAAACATTAAGTCGAGAAATAGAGGCATTATTTCAGGTTAAGGTTGTAGTAGTCCAAAATTTTTTTTTTATAGTTTTGAAAACTTTGTTGAAAAGAACTGTTTAAGGGGCATACTTTGAGTTCTATACTTTCCAAGAAGGATTAGTAAAGTTACAAATAGTTTAGCTGCCATCATCCTTGTAACATTTTCACTGTTGTCATACTTTATTAAAAAGACATTTGCCATTCAGTGGCAACATCCTCGGGCTGATGAGAGGTTTATAGTTGTGAGGACCTTTGTTCATGTCTTATTACTGGTGTTTTACAAGTTAATGCTATGAATGGCATAGAGGGATTTTATGGTGTATATTATCTCTAGTCTTTTGGCTTATTTATGTAAAGATTTTAGTTTTTAAAGTTCATAAGGAGAGA